CCTTTCCTTTCCTTTCCTTTCCTTTCCTTTCCTTTCCTTTCCTTTCCCTTTTTTTTTCCTTTTTTCTTCCTTTCTTTTTTCCTGAGACAGGGTTTCTCTGTGTAGCCTTGGCTGTCCCCGGAACTCACTTTGCAGACCAGGCTGGCCTTGAGATCTGCCTGCCTCTGCCTCCCAAGTGCTGGGATTAAAGGTGTGCACCACCACTGCCCAGCTGTTTTTATTTGTTTGTTTTTAATTTTGTTTTGTTTTGGTAGATACACAGCCCAAGCGGACTTTTAACTCCAGCTCTTTCTGCCTCAGCCTCTCAAGTGCTGAAATGACACTCACTGCTTTTGCTATTTTAAATAATTATAACCGCATGATTTCTCTCCTTTTGTTCTCTCTCCCTTCCTGTTGTGCGCAGGATAGGTAAGCAAGCACTCTGCCACTGAGTCATACAGACCCAGCTCCTCCCTGGGAGTGTCTAGGCTGAGGCTCCGCCTCTGGCCCCGCCTCTGGCCCCGCCCCCAGCCCCTCACCGGGAGATTTTCCGCAGAGGCTCTACTGAAGACTGTCCCGGGAGGGACTGGAGTTAAAATGCACTAACCTGATGGCAGGCTAGTGCAAGGTTCTAAGGTCAGTTCCAGTGTAATCAGTCAGTATATGGTTGTAAATTTGGTCAGGCATGGTGGCACATTCCGGTCTTCCCAGAACATGGGAGGTAGAGACCGGTTCAAGGGCAGCCTTAGTTACATTTTCTTCAGCCCTGGCCTAGGGCGCCTGGACTTTACACAGATAATCAAGGGTAGTGGTGAGAACCCAGATAATGGCTGTGTGCCGTACTGCTTCCTTTATCTGTTCAACTATCTGATGTTACCTTTAGGGCACTTTCTGTACATTGTCAAGCCAAAGTGTCAAAGGCCACAGTGGAGGTAGGTGTGTGGATGCTTATGATCTCAGCACGAGGGAGGCTGGGGCAGGAGGATTACTGCAAGTGTGAGGCCAACCTGGTTAATATACTGGGTTCCAGGCGAGCTATGAGATTCTATGTCAAAACTTGAAAGAATGAAGGAAAGGAAAAATTGAAAGGGAGCCATTGGCTGCTGTAGAGCAGGTAGAATGTGAGAGTTGTTAGGATTGTGGGGGCGGAGCTATATAGCAGGTTCATTACGCCACGGGGCTGGTTCCACGTGGGAGGTTTCATTGGGGGAAGGGGAGGTCCCAGAGACCATCTCTGGGCAATGGGGGAGGGGCGAGCCCTTTGTAAGGTGACCCAGCGTGATTGCTGGTGGTCCGCAGGTGGCCTCACGGATGCCTGATGTCCCGTTTGTTAGGTCCCCTGGGGCTGGCCGTAGAGAGGCCAACAGTAGTGGTTACATTACGGAAAGATCCCTTTGGGATCAGGGTGGAAGATAAACGGGAGGAGGGGAGTGTGTGGCGGAAAATAACCAGTGTCCAGAACCTGGGGCCTCTCAAGGAGTTACCTGGCAGGAGGTGGTTAGACCCGCATACCGAGCAGGTATTTAACGTGGGAGAGGTAAATCGAGCCTAGCCTGGTCTCTGGAGTCCGGGGTCCGGTGACCTGTGCCAAGGAAATGATTCTCATTCCTTTTGACCCTTCCAGAGCGTCCTGCCTCTCTTTCTTCAGTGGGACACGCCCACCTGCCGTTTGAGGCCACCCTAATTCTGGCTCATCCCATATTTTCAGACCTCTGGGGGTTTAGGATCTCAAGGGTGCGACCTGCGAGGGAAAGTGGGGTCAGGATGGGAACAAAGGCCAAGGCCCTTGGGCGAGCACAGTAATAACAACGCCTCTTCCCGCCCCCTGCTTCCGACACGTGGGCGACGATTGGCTGGATGGGAACCATCCCTTGCAGATGATTGGACCTTGGAGGCACCTGGTGATTGGCCGTCCTTTGGCTGAGTTAACCCCATAGAGGCTGAAGCGGGGCCTGGCAGAACTTTGCGATCCAGCTGCAGCGCCCAGCTGCCTTCCATCCGCCCTTCAGTTTTTACAACCTGTTTCTTCCCTGCTCCCACCGTCAAGGGCTCTGTGTCCATCTAGCGAGCTGGCCGCGGGACTCAGTTTCCTTCATCGCTGCTGCACGGGGCTGAGCGACTTGTGGGCCCCCAGCCCCGGGATGCAGCCCAGAAGGCGGCGGACACTTTGTGTACATCGGGAAGCTGTCTCCTGGCAGTTCCCAAGCGGTCCCCGGCGGGCGCGGCCAAGGAGGCGCCGGAGGAGGATGAAGACGACCAAGAGGCCGAGGACCCCGAAAGTGGAGCATATAGCCCCCCGAAACGCGGGGGTCCTGGATCTCAGTTTTTCCCTCCAGGTCACCAGCATCACCTAGCCTCAGTTTCCCTAATGTCCCAGAGGCTCTGAGCTCCTTTCCCGCGCGTGGGCAGGCCCGAGATCTCAGGTTTGCATCTCCAGCAGGCTGAGACAGTCCTGCCCAGGGCTCAAGGTTGCAATCTGGTAGCTGGTACAGGGTCTCTAGTCCCTGAATGTGAAGGTCCCGGGCCTGTTTCCTCCTCCAGGCCTCTCGCAACCGCCCGCCTCAGTTTCCCCAGTTGCTCCGGAGCGCTCCATCCCCAGTGCAACCCAAGGGCTCGGTGTCCCCCTCCGCCCACGGCGGGCCAAACCTCTCCGCCCATCCCCAGTGACCAATGGGCTGCGGCGTCCCCCCGCGGGGCGGAGCCCCGTCACCAGGAGGAGGCTGTGCCGGGACCCAGCGGCCATGGCAGGTAGGACGGCCCGCGCGGGCGGGGACGGGGCAGAGGGGCGCGACCTCTGCAGCCCGTCGCTGTCTCCTTGCAGCTCCCGAGCCTCTGTCCCCCGCGGGCGCGGCCGAGGAGGCGCCGGAGGAGGATGAGGACGACCAGGAGGCCGAGGACCCCGAGCGCGGGGCCGGCAGCGGAGGGCGCAGCAGCAGCCTCGGTGGCAGCGGAGGCAGCACATCAGGGCCTGGGATTGCCCTGGGGGGCGCGCTCACGAGGCGCGCGGTCACGCTGCGGGTGCTGCTCAAAGACGAGCTGCTGGAGCCCGGCGAGGGAGTGCTATCCATTTACTACCTGGTGAGCGACCCCCAGAGACCGTTCTTGTCCTCTACTGCTCGTGCGTGAGGGGAAACTGAAGCCCAGAGGAGCCGTGCTAATCGCAATGCCACAAAGCCATAACCACTGCCATCCATCTGGGTGTGTCCGAGGGCAACCAATCTGTGCGATAGCAGCAGCTTCGTCTGTAAGATGAGGTCTTCCTTCACAGGCTCTCTACGAAGATAACCTTTCAAAACTGTGTACTGTTATTTAAAATTACGGCCCCAAAAAACTTTTTTTGTGGTACCAAGGAAGGAACCTGAGCCACACTGCCCAGCCCGTCCTAAGGGTGTCTAGCGGGGCTCCACTTCTGACCACGCCCCCCCTAGCCCCTCACTGGGGATTCTAGGCGGGGCTCCACCCCTGACCACACCCCCAGCCTTTCTCTCCGGGGATTTTAGGTTGGGCTTCTGCCTCTGAGAGGTGAGACTTATTAAGTATTCCAAGCGGGTTTTGAACTTGTCTTCCCGCTTCAGCTTCCCCAGTAGCTGGGCTGACAGGCCTGGGCCGCTATGTCTGCTCTGGCTGTCATTGCTTCAGTTTAAAGTTGTGCGCCAGGATGTTGAGTACCAGCATGCTTTACTGGTGTGACAGACGGGGTTCCTATGACAGTGCTGCTTGGGAGCTCAGAAGAACAATGCCAAGCCTCAGGGAGCACGGAGTTAGGGGTCGCTGCGAGTGGGTGTGTTCCAGCCCTTTCTGTCGCTGCAGGGCAGGAAATTCATTGGGGACCTGCAGCCGGACGGCAGGATCGTGTGGCAGGAAACTGGGCAAATCTTCAACTCACCCAGCGCCTGGGCCACACACTGCAAGAAGCTCGTCAACCCGGCCAAGAAGTCCGGCTGTGGCTGGGCCTCTGTCAAGTACAAGGGCCAGAAGCTGGACAAGTACAAGGCCACCTGGCTCCGCCGGCACCAGCTACACATGCCGGTAGCTGCTGCTGACGAGGTGTGAGCAACATGCCTTCCCCCTGTGCTGTGGGCTGAAGTGTGCAAAGGACGCAGCCTGATGTGTTTGAGAAACAGCAAGATGGCCTGAGTTGCAGAAGCAGAGAGGAAGAGGACAAGGGAGGAGGGAGGCAGGGAGGAGCAGGCAGGGCCTCCTGGGTGGCAAGGAGGACTTCCGCTTTGATCCTGAAGTGGGTAGAGGGTCACAGAATACTATGGGCTGAGGGAATTTATAGGGAGTCTGACAGGGCAGAGACAGAGCTCAGAGATAGCCAGAGTCTCCCCTGCAGTCACACAGCAAGGAGGAGACAGACTGGATCTCAAGCCTGGGGAGAGCCTGAGCCTTGGGCACCCCTGCTCAACCTTGCCCTCTGGTGGTAACTCAAGGTGATGGCATCTTGAGCTCAGGCCTGGGCTCCGGTAAGCGACTTGTTCACGTCTGCCACTACACCCCATCCCATCAGAGTCCCACCAGTGAAGGGGAGGAGGAGGAGCTGCTGTTGGAGGAGGAGGAGGAAGATGTGCTGGCCGGGGTCTCAGCAGAGGACAAAGGCCGCAGACCCCCTGGGAAGGGCTCCTCCGAGTCAGGTGAGGCAGGCGCAGAGGAGGCCACTGCTGTGTGAGAGGCTGGCTTTCATGTTTGTTAGGCCTTAGGAATCATAACTGACAGTCCAGCCTAGTTTCACTCTCTGCCTGATTTCTTTCTCTTTTTCTTCCTTGGTCTCTTTGTAGCCCGGGCTGCCTGGAACTTGGAGATCTGTCTACTCCTGCCTCCTGAGCGCTAGGGTTAAGGGCACGTGTTATTCATGTATTGTGATTGGGCATGTAACTCAGAGGACAGCTTTCAAAAGTTGGGTGCCTGCTTCCACCATGTGGGGTCTGGGGATTGAACTCAGGTCATCAGACTTGGTTGAAAGAGCTGCTAAGCCAAATCACAAGCCTTACTTCCTCTTGTTTCTTGGGTATCTTTGCTTCTATGCAAAGGAGAGAAGGGAGAGGAGGGTTCACATTGACTCTTTTCTGTCCATCTCCCCAGAGGCCACACCCCCGGGCAAGCGTGTGGAGAAGTCCCGGGTGCCCATCCGTTACTGCATGCTGGGCAGCCGCGATTCTGCCAGGTCAGTTACACCATCTGCCCAGTCCGGCTTCCCTGGAGTCCGTAGTTGGTTTGATCCAGCAGAAGCAGGGCCTGGACTTCTCAATTACTGGGAGTCCTTAGGATGGGTGGGGTGGGGACGAGCCCAAATTCCTGAAGCCCTGGGACCATCCCGACCACTCCAGGAACCCGCACACCCTGGTAGAGGTGACATCCTTTGCTGCCATCAACAAGTTCCAGCCTTTCAATGTGGCCGTTTCCAGTAACGTGCTGTTCCTGCTGGTATGTGGTCGAAGTCGCTTGGCCTGGTCACCCTTCATGTCCAGAGAGAAGGAGCTCACTGACCTGGGCGGGGGTCACTGAAGAGATACACAGAAGGCACTCAGTAGATAATAGGTGCTCATTTAGGAATAGACCCTGGAGCCTTTCCGCATGCTAGGGGCCTGCATGCTTTCCGGTGAATGACATCCCTAGGGAAATGATAGATGCACACAGGAAGAGGTGGGATGGCTCCTGTGTTGAGACAGGAAGTGCAGCCTAAGCCAGCTCTCCCTGTTTTGTACCCAGGACTTCCACTGTCACCTGACTCGCAGCGAGGTCGTGGGCTACCTTGGCGGTCGTTGGGACATCAACAATCAGAGTGGGTATTGGGACTGGGTGGCCAAGGGTGTGTCTCGGGCAGGGCTGACTGGCTTCTTGTTGGGTACCCTACAGTGCTGACGGTGCTGAGAGCCTTCCCCTGTAGGAGTCGGCTTGGGGATGCCGATACTGCAGCCACCGTTGAGGAAGAGGTGAGGGCTTGTTGGGAGGGGACCACAGCTGTCCTGGTGGCCAGGATAGTGGCCAGGGTGGTGGCCAAGCTTTTCAAAAGTGCAAGTGAGTGTTGGTACCCACTGGGATAGAAATGCTGGCTCTGTGCTTTATGTGACATGATTTTGCTATGTAGACAAGGCTGGCCTAGAATAGCCTAGACTCCTCCTGCCTCACCCTTTTGAATACAGGAAGGATAGGCCTGTTGATGTGGTTTTTGTTCCTTTCCTGTGTGTGTGTGTGTGTGTGTGTGTGTGTGTGTGTGTGTTGTGTACCAGGCTGATCTGAGACTCACAGATCCATCTGCCTCTGTCTCCTGGCTCCTGGGACTAGAGGTGTGCGCCAGAACCCAGCCCCAAATATTTCTTTGTTGTATTTGTTATGTGCAGGAGTGTTTTGCTTGCATGCATGTTTTGCACTGTGCATGCTGTTGCTCAGGGAATCAGAACCCTTGACATGGAGTCACTGATGGTTGTGAAACTTTATGTGGGTGCTGAGAATTAACTCAGGCTAAGAGCACAAGCCATCTTTCCAGCTCCCAGATGTATTTTTTCTTTTATCTTTTTTTTTCTCTCAAGACTGGATTTCTCTGTGTAGCCTTGGCCGTCCTGGAACTCACTCTAGAGCAGGCCAGCCTCAAACTAAGAGATCTGCCTGCCTCTGCTTCCTGAGTGCTGGGATTAAAGGTGTGCACCACCATGACCTGGCTCCTTGTGTATTTCTACTCACACTCCCACAGTGGTTGGGTGGGGTGGACACAGCTTAACTACCTCTGTGTGGGATTTAGGGGCAGCTCGAGGCCCTGGCCCTGCCCGATCCCGACCTCGCTTGTATGTCTCCAGATCCACCAGGTCCTGTTCCTGCGAGGTCTGTCCCTGGTGGGCTGGTACCACAGCCACCCGCACAGCCCTGCAGTGCCCTCCCTGCAGGACATCGATGCGCAGATGGAGTACCAGCTGAGACTGCAAGGCTCCAGCAACGGCTTCCAGCCCTGCCTGGCCCTGCTTTGCTGTGAGGCCCCGGCCAGCACAGGGTGGGGGATTCGCCGGGCCAGACTCACCGAGGCCCCAGCTTCAACCCTGTCGTTATCCCCACAGCCCCATACTACTCTGGCAACCCGGGCCCTGAGTCCAAGATCTGCCCTTTCTGGGTGATGCCTCCCCCTGAGGTGGGTGAGCTGGAGGACGGCAAGTTGAGGGGCGTGAATGTGAGTGGGCAAGGGGGAAGGGTCACACGGATATGAATGGAGATGGTGGGGTCGTGTCTAGGCAGATGTCTAGGGGCTGGGAGGTGTGCTGAGTCTGAGGCAGTCAACTCCAGTTCTGGGCTATGCTGGGCACCCATGCCTCAGTTTCCCCATCTGTGCATTTGGTATTTCAGTGGTCACTCTAAGGTCTATTGGGTGATGTCCTGGCCTCCTATGACTCTCAACTTCAGACCCTAGAAACCCCTGGACTGTGGGCTGGGGCTGGGGGAGGCCTCTCTGACTGGACCCCACCCCTCCTAGCAGCAAAGGCCCAGTGACTATGGCATCCCCATGGATGTAGAGATGGCGTATGTCCAGGACAGCTTCCTGACCAACGATGTTCTTCAGGAGATGGTGAGCTGCTTGCCCATGGCTGTGGCCCCAGGGTAACTAGTTAAAACCCCAGATCTTTTTATTATTTTTTATTTTTGAGACATGCTTTCTGTGTAGCCTTGGCTGTCCTGGACTAGCTTTGTAGACCAGGCTGGCCTCGAACTCACAGCCATCCGCCTGCCTCTGCCTCCCTGAGTGCTGGGATTAAAGGCGTGGACCACCATGCCCAACTTAGGTTTTTTTGAGATATGATCTCTCTGTGTAGCCAAGCTTTTGATTATCCTGTCAGATTTCACTTGCCTGACTACTGGGTCTGGGTGTGACCTGTCGTTTGAGTTAGAATTGGGCCTTCTGCTGTGTGGGGTTAAACACTGTGCCCGGGAGGAGCTCTGCAGGAATGACAGCTGGGCCACCACCATCCCTGGGTGGGTGACCATTCTTTAGTAGATCTATCTACTCGGATGTGTTTGTCATTCCTGAGGGCTCATGGTGTGACTTGGGATGAGGCTAGCTCATGCCTTCAACGTGGATTTAGCCTCTCCAGGCAGTTCAGGGAGCTGCAGGGTCAAGGGCAGGCGGGAGCCAGGTGCGCTACCCCTGCCCTTTAGGTGCTGCTGGCTGAGTTCTACAAGGGTGCCCCAGACCTTGTGAAGTTCCAAGAGGCCTGGAGCCCAGAGCACACCTACCTGGACAAGCTCAAGGTGAGCCGGTGGACCCCTACCTACCCTGGCTCCTCGGGAAGCACAGGCCACATCCTGGAGTCTCAGGCGGTCACAGAACCTACGTGGCTTGGTGAGGGCCCCTGCCACACAGGCAGGGGCCCAGGTTCCACTTGCAGCTGTGAGTGAATTAATGCGTGCACCCATGCATGAGCCCTCCTGCTGACTACTGGCTCTGGGTGTGACCCGTGGTTCTCAACTAGAATTGGTCCCTCTACCGTGTGGGGCTGAACACTGTGTGGGGAAGATGCTCTGCACTGTGTATCACTCAGACTCAAACGGTGAGGCTGGGTGTGGCCCACGTGCCAACTAGCACCCAAGGTGTGTGCATGCAGGGTGTGTATGCGTGTCTTGTTCTGGGTAAGATAGCCAAGACCCTGCTCCCCAAATCCTAACAAAAGAAAGCTCCCTTAGGACCGAAATTTCGAAAATGGCCCAGGCCTACCAAACACTGCACACAGGGCTCTTATTTGGGCTGCAGCCCTGGGGGCAGGGGACACATGTCGAGGGCAGAGCCTGACCTCTATCCCACCGTTGCAGATGTCCTTGGCCAGCAGGACTCCGAAGGACCAGGGCATGTGCCACGTGCTGGAGCAGGTCTGCAGTGTGCTCCAGCAGGGGAGCTGAGGCCACGCAGGTGCTGCTGTCTGGGACAGGCTGGGTAATAAAGTCTCTGAGTACCCACAGCATGAGCCTGTGGCTGGGGGATTGGGGGAATGGTGGGCTGGGCTGTGTGGGGCCCTTGCAGGGGGACAGGGCTACCCTGAATGAAGATGAGACAATGGCTGTAGAAAGAGACATTTAATATTTTTTTTTTTAAAAATCAGGAGTAAAGTTCACTTCAGCCAGGGCTGGAGCAGGACAGTGTTGCCCATCTGGGGCTGTGGGGTGTGGCCCCACATGGCAGGGATGAGCCACTGGTTGTGGGGCTGCTGTCGAGAGGAATGTAACTGAGCCCAGGCTGAAGGCCTCCCTTCCTGGAGCCTGGCAGGGTTTGATGCAGAGCCTGGGCTACGGCAGGCCTGCTGGTTGAAAAGGGACCTGCCAGCTGCCTGTGGTGGCCTACAGGTGTAGGGTAGCAACGGAGCTGGCTCAGGAACCCGGGAATGTCCTCTCTTCATGGCCTTTGTGCTTGGGCCTCCGGCAGCGCTGAGCTGGGTGTGGTCCCATGGGAGGTGTGCACCTGTGCTGTGTGCCTCGAGCACTTCTGCATGTGCAGCTGGGCCAGGCGTCTCCGTGTGCTGAGCTGGGGAGCTGGCCAGCCTCGACTTGCAGGCTGGGGACCCCAAGGACCTGCCTGCCTCTGGGGAGCCGGGAGGGGGGCCTGGGCCCATCGCCAGCAACGGGCTGGGAGGGGTTGAACAGGTGGGAGCTGCCACCACCAGAAAGGCGATAAAACGTCAGGGTGGGCCTTCCTGAGTCTTAGGATGAAGGCCCAGGGCTGGGGGATAGGGAGAGGGTCCCCCGGAGGAACGTTAGTGTTTCTAGAGCACCGTGGCGTTAGGTCGCTGCCGCACTGGGACCAGCAGCCAGCGTGCAGGCGCGGTCACTGAGGCAGGGGCACGAGCACCTGCACGTAGCTGAGCGGGAAGAAGCCCGACTGGCCATGCAGCATCCCCTCGTACCAGTTCTCGTCGATCTGGTTGGTGAGTGTGATGAGGTCACCCTCACGGAAGCCCAGCTCGCCATCATTCTCCGGCTCGAAGTCATACAGCGCCTTGCAGCTTGGCTGGTCCAGGGGTGCTGGGAGTGGATTAGAGGTGTCAGGGCACAGCAGATAAGCCAGTAGGCAGGGTGGGTGGAGCTCGGCCCTGCTCTGCTCTGACATGTGAGGCCATCGGGTGATTCTGAGCAGCAGGGTAGGGGTGGGTGTGCCAAGGATGGCAGTGACAACCGCTACCCCCGACACTCACGCATGCTCCTGCTGGGAGTCCTTGCGGGCTTGTCTGTCGATCTGAATGAGGAGGAAGCTGTGGGACGGAGAGGGCAGGCGTGAGTGAGGTGGACAGGCCTAGCTCCAGCCCTGGCCCTTCCATGAGGCTTCACTACCTGTGATCTTGGGTGCTGGGGTGCAGGAGAATCCCCCATTGGGCTGCTCTGGCTCTCCGAGGTCGAAGGGCTCCCGAGGTCGGGGCTTGAACTCCCGCTTGGGGCGTGAGGAGGCTTCCCGCACCCTGCAGGAACGGAAGATCCTGAGCGCCCACGCACCCTTTTCTTCCACCCTGCTGCCCAGGACCAGGTTGTCATGGACCTAGGCTGGTCATAACCAAAGTCCTCCATCTCAAGTAACCACAGACTGCTAATCGCCTCTGCCCTCACAGCCCCTGCACGGTGACCCTGGCCACCCAGGGACTGACACCTGACACAGGAAGGTGAAGGATGTGGACCTGAGCAGCTGGCCCAGTTAACTCCCTTGTCTTCTCATCTTCTGGCTCAGGCCACCGCTGCAACCACCGTCTCCCGTTGAGCCCTGCTTCCTCCTAGCAACCCCAGTGTTACTAACACGCTCAGCTTCCTTTACTGACACAACCCAGCACCTGCTCCCACCCCAGCTCGCCAGCAGAGGGCGCACGGCAGCCACAGGAACTGTGGGAAGTGGGCTGAAGACTCACCGGCGCTTCAGCTTGTCCGCCAGCTCCTCCAGGATCTGCACTGCCTGCCTGTGGTAGTCCAGCTGGGCATCCACCAGGGCCGAGAGCTGGCTCACCTGCTCGATCTGTGACAGGGGAGAAGCCAGGTGACATGGCCAGACCCCATCCTCACTGGGCAGCCCCCTCATCCTAGCAGGATGATGTCCTGGGTCCTAGACCCGCCCAACACGCACATCAGTCTCCAGGAGGTTGTGCATACTGGTCTCTGCCACCTCTTTGGACTCCTCAAACTTCTCCAGGGCCTGGCGCAGCTCCTCATCAGGAATCTTGCCCTGTCGTTTCTTCTTGTAGTCGAAGTCCAGGCGGCGGCCCTCCAGCTTCTTGAGGTGATGCTGTGGGTGCAGGCCCATGAGGGAGCAGCACGACTGCATGGGGTACCCTCCCGGCCACCCAGAGCTGGGCCTGCACCTGAATCTCCTTCAGGTCCTTGTCGCACAGGTTCTGCAGCGGGTCGATGAAGTTCTGCTTCACTTCAATGTCCAGTGAGTCCTTCACCTCAGCCAGGCGCTTCATGGACTCGCCTGCGTCCAGCAGGGCGTCACCTGCAGGGCGGGGGCTGTCACGGGCAGGCCTTGCCACCCCCGAGTGAGCCACATGGTAAGCGAGCCAGAATATGACCCACAAAGGGCCCTCCCGCCAGGCTCCCTTGGACATGCTGCCCTGTCACCCAACCCCTCCCAGTGGCCCCTCACCGAAGTTGGACTCTCCGCCCAGTTCCTTGCCATGGCGGACCATGCACTCGCCCAGCAGACCCTCTGACTGTGGGTAGCCGGGGTTCTTCACTTGACCCCGGATCTTGGATACGGTGTTCAGCATAGTGAGCTTGGCCCGTGAGGCTGCAAGAGGACAGATGCCCAGATGTATCCACACATCCCCAGCAGGCCCGGTGACGGGAGGCTGTGTCCCCATGCACTCTGAAGGGCCCAGGACCCACTCCCTTCTGTCGTCTGCAGAGGCTGAAATGACCACTGCCGTCTGCATTCCCGATGGTCCCCACCTCCAGACCCTGCGCCCCTGCCTCACCCCTGCCTGGCCCCACCGCACACTGGCCCAGCAGGTCAGCAGAAGGGACCCTGTGTGTGGAGGCCACCAAAGGCTGGGATGGCCATGGCCATTTCAGATCAGCCTGAGGAAGCGGTCACCACAATTCCCTTTCCACTGAGCTAGCCAGAGGCCCAGGTCCTACCTGGGTTGGGCTGCAGGTATTCGATGGTTCTGACCAGCACTTCCGCCACAGCCTTGCTGGTGACATCCACCTTCTGTAGAGAGCCAGCGTGTTAGAGCCATTAGACGCCAAGGGGGAGCCAGACGTGGGCCCCTTTGTCCTCCAGCAGCCACAACCTCCCCAGTCAGTGTGGACCATACCAAGGAGCCCTACCTTTTCCATCTCTTTGAAGTCATCATCCAGCTTGGTCCCCTCGGCCCCGCCAACCTTCTCACTGACCAGCTGCCGGAGAGAGGAAGGAAGGCATGTGAGGGCACAGGCTTATGGGGACACCTGCTATGTCTGCCTAGGATGCAGCCTCTTGGGATAGGCAGGCACATGGTATCTAGGCGAGCCCTGAAGGAGCCAGCAGAGCCCATGGGTGTGCTGTGACCCAGCCCAGGATCTAGCACTGGCTCTGGGGGGCCAGGTCCAGAGCCCTGTGGGAACCATCCCACCTTTCACAGTTCTTGGGTTGACCCTGTCACTTTGCTCCATGCCAGCTCAAGCCTTGTGTCCTACGTAAGTGGCTACGGCAGGCCTCGGGAGGCTCCTGTGTACTTGAGTCCTCAGTGCCCGCTACTGTGACATTGACTGATAAGGAAGCAGTCAGGAACCTTGAGAACCTGGACAAGAGTGGTCAGAGCTAGGCCCTGCCCAACCCTGGACCTGACAGCATGGTGGAGAGCCCCAAGTAACCACTGCAGAGAGCCCTGAGTGCCCGTGTCACTATCTGAATGCCAAACAGTGTGTCACTCCTCTGGGGCATAGGGCACCAGTCTGCCCACCACAGCCATCGTCACTCATCACACAAGCAGAGTGGCCATTGCTTGGGTCACCCTCACATGGGGTGTGACAGGTCCACTACAAGCTATGGAGACAGAGGAACCAAAAGGCACTCTGTGGGGTACTTCCAGGGGCTTTTGCTCAGAGGCTATGCATGCACAGCTATGTGCAGAATGGCAGGCTGGCCTCTGGAAAGAAGGGCGCCAGTGAGGCTTTCCTATACTATGGCCTTGGCGCCCTGCCTCTGAGCCCTTGCCTGATGTGAGCAAGGGTTTTGCAAAGGCTGTGTGGTGCCCCATGCCACAGGTAGAGTAGCCTGAGAGGAAGTGACCAAAGACATCAGGAAATGGGGTACCTGTGTACACACCGGAAGTGATCTCCCAACCCCATGCTTTTGAGTAGTTTCCCACAGTGCTCTTAAGAAGGCTGCCTGGTAGGCAGGGGCGCTTCTGCAGCTCTCAGAGCCTCTTAGAGCTCCCCACCCATGGAGAGGATGGGGCTTGCGGGGAGAGACAGGCGAGTGGGGCCCTGGAGCTGTCTTCCCAGGTGAGGGCCCCCAGCTGCCTCCTTTGGGCATTCCCAGGGAGCCAGAGCAGCCTTCATGGCCGGTTTCGCTTCTCCAAGCTGAGCAGGATGTCACCCACCACAAAGCCTGGCTCTTGTGGTAAATGCAGAGAAGTGAAGCAGGAGCACAGCTTCCGGAGGACAGCACCTGGGTCTGGGGACCTGGTGCCTCAGGGAAGGCAGCAAGGCAGGAAGAGGGCAGCCCAGAGCACACCTGGCTGCTCTTTTAATGGTCCTGTCTCCTGTGCCCTGTGATCTGGGGGCCCAGCCTTCCCAAGGCTCAAGAGCTCCACGGGGGCCCCCATGTGGGCACTACATATGCCACGAGCAAGCTGCATGCTCCTGCTCTGGACCCCTTTGCAGAAGTACTACAAGTGCCCCCACAGCTCAGGGGCAGGCACTGGCACGGAGTAAAAGCGGGAAGCAGACAGCTCATGCCACCTGCAGTCCAGAGCCAGAAGGTGAGGTGCAGCCTGTTTATAAGCCTATGGGGATCCAGCACACCTCCCACAGAACAGTAGGGGTTACATGGTGGCATGCAGACACCTAGGTTCTTAGCAGAGATGCCCCAGCAGGATTGTGCTGGGAACCCTAGAGGACATGACTAAAGGCAACGTGCACTAAGATTGTTCCCACTCCTCTGGCCAGCCTGGTTCTGCAGATTTGTCCTCTCTTAGAGCAGAGGGAGCCAGTGGCCAGACATTTGCATGGTCTGTCTGCCTAGCATGGCCTCTGTTGACAGTGTTACTGTATACCAGGCACCTGGGGTGGAGGACAAGCAAGATGGGGTGACTGGCCTCCCAACGGGATCACGGAGACCAGAGTGCTACTGGGTAGAGCCCCTGCTCCAAAGCAGGAGACCCCTGGCTCTACGCCAGCATTGTCAAATTCAGCAGACAGTGCTCTTTCAGAGCATGGGGTATGTGTATGCAGTGACATCATGGCTACCTGGGGCAGAAGAACCATAAGGGAGATGACAGGGTATGTGACAGAGAAGTTAGGCACAGATCATAGGAGCTGACGCCCTGCCTGACCTGGCAGCCACCCTTAATCATATTCCTTTATCATAAAAAAAGGTGACTCGGTGGCCCTGGGAGGTTCACTGTGAGCAACAAATAGTGGCACGAAAGGGGAGGGAGGGTGCCGGGTGCCTCCCCAGCCAGTCATCCACAGGGTCAAAGTAGGGCCACGATGCAGTACCACAGTGCGTGAGAACAACAGCACAGCGCGTGAGAACTCTCTACGGGCGGCCATGCTGGCCAGGGAACAAAAGCACCCCTGCCCCACACACTACAGCTGCCAGCTCCCGCGGCTCCTCAGCAACCTGAGGGGCTAGACCTGTTCTGGGGCAGGCTGACACAGGTGGGGGTCCTCCTGAAGTGGGGCTGGGGTAGGATCTAACAGTGTTGTCAGAGGCCCACCTGCCGAAGCTTGCCAGTGGCGGCACCACAACAGACACACCACCCACAAGACACTGCCACCACCCACAGGAGCCCAGGACGGGGGCGGGGGGAGGTTGGGGGGAGCACGAGCACAGACAGGGCATGCAGGCAGCCTAGAGAGGCTGTGAGGTGTGCCAGTGCCATGCCAGGCCCTGGGACCATCAGTTCACAGATGGGAGAGTGAGAGCATGCAGGCCAGCCTCACATCCTTGCTACAGGTAGACCCTGGCTATGTCCCCACCCGAGGACCTCAAAGCTGGGGTTGCTTGAGCCCAGGGAGCTGCAGCAACACTTCTATCGCAGTTACACCACAGTCGTTCCTGCTGAGCTGAGCTGTGGAGCCCCACACGCACAAGCCTGGCTTGCCCCATGCCTGAAGTCTGGTTCCTGGTGGAGGGCCACTGAGGGCAGACAGGCGCATTGAACATCACACTGGACTCTGCACAGAGAGAGAACTGTTGACAGGAACCTGTCTCAAGCCAGGAGCCTCCAGTTCCCCAGCATCACAGCATGCAAGGCAGATTCTGCAAGCTGCTCTGAGCTCCCTGCCTATATGCTAATATGGGAGGGAACATGCAGGAAGGTGGCCAGCCACTGCCCGATGAGTGTCCTGGTCCCTGGAGCTGGCATGTCTTGGGGCCACACAGGCCTCTATTGCTCCTAAGAACATTATCAGAATGTGGAGTGAACAGGGTGTCAACAGGAACCTCACTGTGTCCAGGGAGGCACCACAGGCCCTCACCACACATCACAGGCTCTTGTAAATATTTGGAATTTACTGGTTATGCAAGCCACTGCCTCCTTTTGTGACAACAGGCATGAAGGAACTTCCTCTGACCTACCAGGAAGCTCAACAGGATCCTGTATGCCCCCAGGGCGTGGTCTCAGTGATCACTCACACCTTCTGCTTAGTGAGGGGGGGGTGCGGCGGTTTCCCCAAGACTAGGTTGGCCCCCCAGGGGCACACATGGAGGAGACAGCCCTTGTGGTGGGCTGAAGCTCATGTAGGAACTGAGCTTTGGGAGCTAAAGGCTGTGGACTTTCAGCTGAAAACATCACCAAGACAAGGGTAGCTTTCCAATGCTCCTGGCTTCTCAGGATCCCTGGCATGGTTACAAGTCAGACCCCTGAGGTCCCGGCCAGTCCCCACTGCCTTTCGAAGACAGTTTAGGGTCTCAGTTCTGGCTGGGGCAGTGGGGCCTGCACCAGGCCCACACAGTCTGCTCACTGGCATCACTTCCTGTTTATCTCAGCCTTCCCACAGTGCCCTAACTCTTGCTTCCTCACGTCTAGGTTGATTGGAAAGATCCCTGCACATGGACCTGTCACCCGTATGTCATCTTAGGCTGGTGACCCTCAGGGTCTGAGGCCTGGCACATGAGGATGCCCATAGGCTGTGCTATTCATAGACAGACCAGATAATGGCAGCCCCCACAGCCCCCACCCTGGCTCCTGAGAGCTGAGGGCAGAAGCCTAAAGTCAGCTGAGGTGGGGACAGGGGAAACTACTTGGGAGTCTTGGGCAACAGAGGAGGGTAGGAGGTGACAGCTCAGCTGGGCAGTACATGGTCAAAGGCAGAAAGTAAGGGTGGTTTAGGAAGTCAAAAAAAATCTTGGTCATCCTGCACCCAACAACTGGGGCTCCCTAACACCTGCCCCTCTCTCTGTCCCTCCTCGGGGGAGTCTGGGGAGCCGCCCACCGTGTGAATGGTGCTTCCTACCTGTGTATGCACCTAGCCTTGTCAGAGGCTGAGATGCAGGGAAGCCTGCGGTGCCTGTCCTGGGACCCCTCTACCCGGCTGGCTCCTGGCCTGGCAATTTAGCTTATCTGTCAGGAGCACTGTGCCTTACATGCTGGGAAAATCAACTTCTGATGAAAACCACAAACAAATGAGGCCCCGGTCCCCCGAGGCTCACAGGGCATCCAAAGGACAGTCCCAGGGCTGCTGCTCACACCTGAGGGGTGACCCAGCCTGGCTCCTCATACGCCTGGGAATGAGGAAGGGTTTCATGGATGCAGGGCTAAGAAGGGCAGCCTGCCAGCTGGGAAGCAGTACCCAGTGAACACTGCATGACCCTGGCAGCATGGGCTAGTAGCCCATGGGTGTGAGTCCCAATAAGTCTTGAGTTCCCTCATGTAGGAAAAACAGGGGGACAGATTAAAGGGCCCTGAGCTCCTACTCCTCCTCCCTTGTCTCCAGCTCCCAGGAGCTGGGGAGTCTAGGCTGCTTGTCACTGGCCTCCCCCAGCAGGAGGAAACTCTGCCCCAGCCCTGCTCCCTCCTCTGGCTGTTCCGTCTTAATGGCCTTCTGTGGGCCATGCCAGGGCTTCCGCATCCCTCGAAGCCCCAATCCAGGCTGTCTTGTCTGTTGGAATCTACCCACCCTCATGGTAACCCTCTTCTGCTCCACACTTGGTGGCCTCAGAAGCAGCAGGAAGTGGAGCTATCATCCAGTTCCCAGCATTCTGCCTTGGCCTGACCACAGCCACCTCCCCCCCTCATGGCAGAAAGTTCTGGGAAGTCTGAGCAAGCTAGGCAGAATCTTGCTCTGCACCCTAGGGACCTGGCTTTGGGGGCTGGGTGGGGCTGTGTCACAGGACACAAAGGTGGGAATGACAAGTTCCTTTGAAGGACAAGTGGGATGGCCCAAACCCTGCTGGGCCACCAGGATGATATTAGCTTCCCAAGGCTGCAATTTGCATCTGTCACACCAGACTTAGGTGACAAGTGTCACATGGACAGGTCAGAGAGCCCAGGTTCTGCAATCTGGAGGCCTGGGGCAAGGAGGGGTGAGCAAGAGTAGTGACTGGCACTCCTGCTCCTGGGGGGGGTCTGCTGACCTGTCTATGGATGCTGAGTTAGATGACACTGTCCCTTGAGATGGTCAGCAGAGGTCAGAGCAATGGGTATTTGTTGAGATATTTATTAAGATAAACAAATGAATGGCCTCACCTTCAGTGTGTCAGTGCTAAGTCACCACAGGTGTGCCAACAGGGTCCGGTGACAGGCTATGCCTGGGAGCCTGTCCCTTAGAGCCAGGGGAAGGACAAGGACAGCACATTCCTGGCATTGCAGAGGCCCTGGGGCTCCATACACAGCACTGAAACCAACTCCTCCCGCCTGTTTCCTCACCTGTAAGGTGGGTGGGCAGAACCTTAGCAGCCACAGCCGCCTGGGCACTCAGCCCCACAGGGGCCACTCCTGAGGGAGGGAGGCTGCAGGCAGACCTAAGAAGGAGTGTGGTGGGCTGGGTGGCACACCAATGCCAGCAATCATGAGGGGAAGCAGGAGGACAAG